TTACGTCTGTTTGTCTGTGATAAAACAATTTGATTGACGTTAAATTTATTGAAATACAGTGTTCGATTTTTGATAGCCCTATGCCTTGTTTAAACACAGATAAAGGACAAACTCAAATGAGATTTATCAGTTTAACTGTCATAACTTTGCAACATTAAAATATAGTTATATGATGTGACGTAATTACTATATAAGAATTTTAAACCAGTTTGTTGTATGAAATGCAATTTTCCCTTCCGGTTACTGTAAATAAACATTATTCAGTAAATATGTAAATGAAAATTGGTTGTACATGTGTGGAACCTAATTTTGAATGGGATAGGAACTGATTTTTTTTTTTAATTGAATGTCCTCTTATTTGAAAACTTTGAATTGTTTTTTTTTTTTTTTTTTTTTTTTTTGAAAAAAAAAATAATTATAAATCAATAATTTTGTAATTATTATTTAAATTATTAGGTGGAAGAACAATATCATAACCCTACGTCAATAATGCGGTCGTGCCCACATAATGAGGGTTCAACTCCCACTCCAGCTGGTAGAACTTTCCGTTTGTTTGATTATTCCGGACCTTTTAACCTTTTAGGTCACTCGGGTCGTTCATATTTTCGAATACAATTTTTGTCTTAAATTATAATGGTATCTTATACTCTAGACACTGATTTGAATTTTTAAATTGAAATTTGAATTTTCGCTTTGATGGCCGACCGGGTCTTCATCCTATACGTTGAGATACATCACGGATTTCGCTGCTTTTATGGCATGTTCCTCCCATCTCGTCTGCAGGAACTTGATTGTGTTGAACGTCAGTTGAAGCGCCACCATGATGAGTATCATGGAAAGATTAAGATCGTTGTTCTCCAGAAGTCCGGTATGGACCTCCTGGTTTTCCATGATTGTAACATCTTGATCGCCATTTTGGGATACTTCCTTTGTGTTTTTGTTTCCCATTTTGTACGTCTTACGTTGAGGTTGTTGTTCGCTGTGTATTGATACTGATACGACTGATTGCTGTGCTGAGGAGTATGGCTAGTTTAAATATTGTGGTCAGGGTTGCTTCCACTCACTTGCTATAAAAAAATATTATTCGGAATTAAGCAATCATTAGATGCAATAATGCTATGTTGTACTTGTAAGTAACAAGAAGAGGTAGTAAAGTATGTGTTTGACTCATAAAACCTGTCAATTTCGCTTTCAGAGCGTCACAATTAGCGATCTTATGGTTTGTCAGCGTTCACTCAGAGTAGCCTTGTGTAAACGAATAAGTTCAAACTCACAAAATATGTCATCAATTTAATAGACGTTAAATTTATTTAATTACAGCGTTCGCTATTTGATAGTTTTTTCTTTAAACACAGATAAAGGATAAACTCAAATGAGATTCATCAGTTTATCTGTCATAACTTTGCAACATTAAAATGTAGTTATATGATGTCACGTACTTACTATATAAGTATTTTAAACCGGTTTGATTTAGGAAATGCAATTTTCCCCTTCGGTTACTGTAAATAAACATTATTCAGCAAATAGGTACCTGAAAATTGGTTGAACAATTGGAACCTAATTTTGAATGGGATAGGATTTGTGTTTTTTTAAATTGAATGTCCTCTTGGATATTATATTTAGAAAATATTTGTTTTAGATTTTTTTTTAAATCAATAATTTTGTAATTTTTATTAAAATTATTATGCGGAAAAACAATCTCGTAGTTCTTCGTCAATAATGCGGTCGTGCTTGGAATACAACGATTATTTTTTTAGCATCTTGACAGTACCACATAATGAGGGTTCAACTCCCGCTCCAGCTTGTAGAATTTCCGTTTGTTTGTTTGTTTGTTTATTATTGACCTTTTAACCTTTTAGGTCATTCCGTTCATGTTTTGGAATACAATTTTTGTCATAAATTATAATAGTATCTTATACTCTAGGCACTGATTTGAATTTTTAAATTGTAATTAGAATTTTCGCCGGGTCGGGTCTTCATCCTATACGTTGAGGGACATCACGGATTTAGCTGCTTTGATGGCTTGTTTCTCCCATGTCGTCTGCAGGAACTTGATTGTGGTGAACGTCAGTTGAAGCGCCACCATGATGAGTATCATGGAAAGATTAAGATCGTTGTTCTCCAGAAGTCCGGTATGGACTTCTGATACGACTGATTGCTGTGCTGAGGAGTATCTGCCGTTAATCGCAAGTCAGTCCCATCTGCATTTTTATCAATTTTGAGCTAGCATCATTATTCAGTATATCTTTCTATGCTTTTTGAGATGTGCTTTTGAAAAAAGGTGGTTTGTTCAAGAAAAATGAAAAACAATACCAAGTCAAATTGTCCCACAACGAAAAGTAACCGCAAGTCAGTCCCATTAGAAAACAATATGTTAGAAATGTTAGACAACACATCGCATCATGAGATTTGTCTCAAGATAGATTTTGTCCACTTCCCCTAGGGTATCTGATGTGGCCAATATAGTTCTTACGATATTCAGTTTGGCCACCAATCGATATGGCTTTGAATTCTCATGTAATTTGATGTATCGCTTGAAGGATTTTGATTTTGATTTAAATAGGATTTACCACTTCCCCGGGGATACCTGGAACTTATTCGGGTGTGGCCTACATGGTGCTGGTCACTCATCATAACTCTTATTGATCTTATTTTTGGATTCTCATGTGAATTGATTTATCTCATGGTGGGTGTGGCACGTTTATGAAAACCTCTGGTCTGATGAAGACCCATACTCACCGGAATATGTTCCGGCCATTGCTCTGGAACCAGCGGAACAAATCCAGAAACATTCAATAACGTTCTATGGAACCGTGGTATCTTTCTACTGTTCAATGCTGTGCTAAACTAATGCAGCATCATCATGGAATTGTGACTGACTTGCGGATATTTTTCTCATTGATGTTAAATGTAATCGCAAGTCAGTCCCACTCAAATTTTTGCCATAAAATAAAAATTTCTCGGTGATTTTCCAATATGTTTGGGTAAACATGGATGCATTCTATCAAATTGTACGTTTATTTTTAAATTTATCCCTCCAAAATAAGTGTCAAATCATAAAACTTGCAAAATCTTTGAACGCCGTTTCCTCATTTCCATTTACAGATGGGACTGCCTTGCGATTATGGCCATAATGGCTGGGTTAAATATTGTGGTATTGCTGACTTCGTGGGTTGGAATTTGGCTCATGATGATTGCCAATTGGCAATTTTTGCAAGATTTGCTTTTTCGATAAAATGAATCACAATGAAATTTGACGGCGCAATGTTCAGTTCTTTTCTTATGTAGTCAAATTTGAGGCAGTCTATGAGTATGTGTTTTACCCTTGTTTTGGTGCCACAAGTAGTGCATCTGGACTCTGGTTATTTTCGAGCGAAGTGTCCGTGGATCGCTCTGGTGTGTCCGATTCTGAGTCTTGTAATGATTTGGCTCTCTTTTCGTTTGAGCATATTGTTTTTGATTTCTCTGAGATGTTCAATATTATGGTGCCAAGTATGTTCCCACTTGCATCTGATGTGGGATTGGACAAGTTTTTTGAAGTCATCATTAGGAGTGTTGATATTGTTAGTTTCGGTTTCAATTGTGGCTTTTTTAGCTAACACGTCTGCTTTTTCGTTTCCATCGATGTTTATGTGAGCTCCCGAGCAAAGTCGGTTAACAAAATGAAAGCAAATCGATATTAAAGATTGCAGTTCCTATCATAATGAATACTCATTTTGATTTCAATTGTCACGACATTAGTCTGATATCATATTGTGCTTTCATTATGCAGTCAAGACATTTTAAATGAAAGCAACTTAACTTGAAGTTCTGCTGTTAACGTCTTGTTTAAGATTTAAGTTAAGCTTATCTGTCGTTGAACTAACGATTATTGTTTATTTGTTTTGTGTTAATTTTAGGTCATTCGCAACCAACCCGAGGTGACATTTGAGCTCAAGTCTTTCAGCGTGAGAAGCTTGGATGCTAACCATTTACACCAGGCCCGTATTCAGTCAAACATTATGAATGCAAAATCAGTAATCAAATTGATTTCATTGAAAGCAGGATTAGTTTTCCGTTTGCTTCAACAGTGTAAAATTTTGCTCTCATTTTTGATGTGTTAACCGTTAAGTCAACCAAAATGAGATCAAATTGAGTATTCAAAGTAAGTTACATCATAACAGCAAATTCTGATTTCAATTTGATCTCTAACTTTGCTCGGGCTGGCACCCAGCAAAGTTCAATGTGGCGTGGGTTGTTTGTCATTTTCGTTCTGATTTCTTGAATCCAGGGGTGGTTTGAATTTAGGTTTTTGATAGCCATTAGAGCACTTTTAGAGTCGCTGAATATTACCTATAGCAGATCTATAGCTTTGTTGATGGCATATGTTTTTGCATTGAATATGGATAAATGTGGTGGTAGGTTGATGCTGGTTTTGATGTTCTGCGAAAAAAATCCGCATCATGTTCCTTGGCTGGTTTTCGATCCGTCTGTATAAATATGTTTATGGTGTAGATATCTAGATTCTCAGATTTCTAGGCAGCATGCTTTTTTCGCTGACGTTGTAAGTGAGTCGTAGATTTCTAGGTTTAGAACTTTCGGTAAAGTGATTTTTTATTCAGAAATAAATCGAGCAGAGATTTGCAATAGGCAAAATCATGTTGATGAATGGTTAAATTCCAAAGTATCAAAAATCCATAGCGAATTGTACGATTTTAAAAAGCTTGTACACCTCTTTGCGAAAACAATCATCGTTCATACAATTTAAAAAAAAATGTGTATGCACCTTGTACACTCATTATATATTTTAAATTATGTTGTTCCCATCGATCTATCAGCTTTTGATGCACAAAGTAGATTTTTCAGTGTTAAATTTACTGTGAATTTATGGAATTAAATCTTTTTGATGAAACCTTGCACTTGCTGCATAACGGCAATATATAAACAGCTCTCAAAAGGTTTTCAGAAAATGAACGATTCCAATAGTTAGATTCAATGAAAACTGGACCAGTAGGAAAAACTTCGCCATTGTAAAGGGTGTCCACGATGAAATTGCCACACACAAAATTGATTCGCAAAATTCTAGTTTTCATCCGATTGCCATCAAATTTTCAGGGATTGAGAAATAACTATTAAACTTCATTTTACCATTTTACTCGTATTTTATTTACAGTCCATACGGAAATGCCCGCACCTTGGCCTTAACCCCGGCCATAAGATTCTGCACAACCTGTGAATCAACCGTTTTTTGCATGTAAACCCATACTTTCTTCAGTTCCTCGACTGTCTTCACTACCTTAGGTCGTTTAAGAAGGTGCTGCTTCATAATCGCCCAGTACTTCTCGATGGGGCGGAGCTCCGGAGTGTTGGGAGGGTTGAACATTTTCGGCACGAAATTGACCTTATTGTCCGCATACCACTTCAGCACGTCCTTGGAGTAGTGGCATGAGGCCAAATCCGGCCAGAAGATTGTTGGGACGTTGTGGGCCTTCAGGAGAGGAATCAGCCGCTTCTGGAGGCACTCTTTTATGTACACCTGTCCGTTCATCGCGTCCTGGGTCACGAAAGGTGCACTCCGCTTCCCGCACGTGCAGATGGCTTGCCAAACCAGGAATTTCTTCGCAAATTTGGACATCTTCTGAGTGCGGACATGCTCCGGAACGCTGAACTTATCCTTGGCCGTGAAAAACAGGTTGCCGGGGATCTGTTTGAAGTCGGCCTTCACATATGTTTCGTCGTCCATGATGCAGCATTCAACTTTCGTCAGCATGTTGAGGTACAACTTCCTGGCACGGATTTTGGCGGACTTGTTCTGCTTCTCGTCGCGATTAGGGGCCTTTTGTACCTTGAACGTTCGAAACCCAGCCTTAGTTTTGGCCTTCTGGACAAAACTTCGGCTTAGGTGCAGCTTCTTAGCCACATCCCTAACGGAGGCGTTCGGATTTCGGTTGAAGGCCCCAACTACGCGGTTGTGATTTTTGGTGTTGTACGGAATACTTTTTCCTTCACTTCTGGGCTTCCGATCGGTGGTCAACCGTTCCTCGAACCGCTTAATCACTCGCGACACCGTGGAATTCGCGATTCCCAACGTTTTAGCGATGGAACGATGCGAGAGATCCTTGTTCTCGTGATGAATGCGCAAGATTTTATCACGCACGAACTGTTCTTTCGACTCCATTTCCGCGAGTTTTGATCACAGGACTTTAAAATTTGCAGGATGTAAATAATGTACTATGAACTAAATCCACCCAAATTTTCATTAAATTCTACCCAACGGTTAAAAAGTTAGAGCAATTTCATAGTGTGGCAATTTCATCGTGGACACCCTTTATTGAAAGCATAACACTAAAGTCTTCGAGAACCCATTAAATTACGCAGAGTCCCCCGTAGTGTCAATCTGGCTTGTTGCACTAATTTGTCCAGAAAAGCAAAATTTAACGATAAAGTTGCATCCACCAATAAACTAGTCCAACATTCCTTTCAAGTTCATGATTAACCATATTTGGACATCGAAAGCCACCCACCAATGCTGCGGAAACCTACAATATCAATTTCAGCATTGATAAAAAGTTCGCGATATGCTAAAGTAGCGATATTCAGAACAACGCACAGCAATTTCTCCATTTCCAATACGGCGTACAATCTCCCATCGCGCAGTTTCGCGTGCATATCGTACATTCATACAACAACACACTATAGGTATCGAACGAATGATTTATCTATTTTCATTCCATTTCCATTGTGTCTCCTGCTTCTCCTGCTGAACCTTCGGGCCTTCAAAAGCTCAATCGGATAAACCACCCGATATGCTGGTGCTCGCCTCGATGGATCGCATCGTGGACGTTATGGAGAATCACGATGACTATGTTGCGCACCTTTTCTGGAGCCCCGACGGCAAGCAGCTAGGTGAGAGATATGCCATTACTCATACATACTGTAGGATAAATACTGCAAATGACAAAAGCAACAACAACAAAAACGTGGGGATGTTCAGTATCTCACATTAACTCCATTGGGGTTCTTTTCCAGCTAGTGCCGGCTGCGACGAGTCGTTGACCATTTGGAATTTCTTCGGCACCTCGCCCAACGGTTTGCAGAAGGGCAGTCAACATCGGAAACGTAACAAGGAATCGATGGGCGGCTTCGATTATGGCTCAAACCTCTACAAACCGATTCGCTAACATAACAACGGGAAAAACTCTAAACAACAACCGCCATGTTGACTGTGAAGAAAGGTACAAACTGAACAAGAGATACATAGCAAGGTGCTCCCGCGGGGGCCTCCCGGTTGTTTGTTTTTCCTATGAGATATGACATGCTACAAGTAGGAACCCGCCCAGAAGCACCTCCAGCGTGGCACGAGTTTCCACGAGGGGACAGTACGGAAGGGAGGGGCCTCCGCCCTGAACAACAGCAATCACCAAACCACCACACCGCCACACTATTTTACTATCATTAGTGCACGACAGCACAGCCGACGCTGGACGTCGTCGATGTCGTTGTCTTCACCAGCAGCAGCAGCAGCAGCAGCAGCAGAGGGGCAGTCGTCAGCGATATGCACTGGCAAAAGCCAGATGTAAAACACAGGAGAAGGTAATTAAATTAAAAATATAAATTCTAATTGAAAGCCACCCACGCGCGAAAGTGCCCGAGGTATGGCACCTCCTTTGGAGCTCCAGGGCATATCGGGGAGCTTGGGGAGAAAATTTACATACAAATGATATAAAGGCTACGGATTTACATAAATGCATATAATATTTTACTACAAATCAAACTCTTTTATTGGCGTTCATCTCTTTGCTCCGGCACAGAGACTTCGTTGACGGTTGAGGCTTAGCACGAGGAAGGTAGTATGATGTATTGTTGGAAGTTGGATGGTAGGAGTGTAAATAATAACCGGCAAGTGAGTAAAGAGAGGAATTGCCGAACAGCAACGAATATCTCGATACCTTGAATTGGTATGGATGAGCCTGACATAAGAGGTAAAATGCCAAAAAATAATACCAAAAAAATGTTCCCACAATACCATTCCAATAACAAATATTGCAATACCAAAACAATACCACCCAGGTATTCTTTTGGTATCCAAATATCAGTTTTTGGTATTTACAAAGTATTTTTCATGTAATTTTTGGGTATTATTTTTTGGTATTTTACCTCTTATGTCATGCTGGTCAATATCAAATTTTGGTATCAAATCAGAATTAGGTATTCATTAGTTATTTTCTCCTGCTCGGAAAGCGTACTTCATCTTGTTACCGCAAGACTTGTTTGAAATTGTTTATAAGGCAAAGGCAAATGAAACAACAATTGTATGTATTTCAGATTAAGATTAATAAACTGAAGAATGTTATCAGTAATTGAAAGTCGAATTAAATGTTTATTTAGAAAAAGAAAAAAAAAAATTATCGTTATTTCGAAGAAATATCCGGATATCATTTTCGTCCTCCGTTTTGTCAATCTTAATCCATCATCTCATCATTTGATGGCATGCTTGGCATACACAGTTTTGCTCAAGAACTGCTTATTTGCTAATAACTTTGCACAGAGTTGACGAAACATAGTTCTGTTTAAAGCAGTCGATAGAATAGAGTTTAAGCTTTTTATAGGTTTGTAAAAAAAGGAGATTTCAATTATTGTAATAAACTGTATTTGATTTTGTGTTGCAAAAATGAAGTGAGAAATGCTCGCTGCACATCTCGGACTTTAAATGTAAAAATTAATTGGTGATTCAAATGATAAGATTCACCTACTCGTTGCATGTCTACAGTAAATTATGATCGTAATCTATCAATTAGTTTAAAGAAAACTAAATTTCAACAACTGAGTGAAAAGTTATTAACAAATGAGCAGTTGGTGTGTACAACTGTGCATGCTAAGCATGTCAGATGGTACATATGATCACTTTCCGCGCAGCATTTAGCTTCCTCTTTATGATTGCTCAATATTTCTCAATCATCCTAATTTGGAGACAATTGCATGTAAATGTATGAGCAATGATGACCGTACCATTCGTTTGACTAGATCAAGCGAAATTTACTCGAAGAACCAAATTAATAGGGCTTGTGATTGCCAATCCATTATAAGTGTGCAAATTCTGGTGAATCAGTATGTTCAATATCAATAGTGGTGCCCACCACATCCTTACTTTCATCGAAAACGGGAAGGATTGATTCCTGATGAATGTGGGCGTCTTAGTGGAATACCTGTATAAAGAGAGAGAGAAAGATTAGTAATTTCCATTTAATTCCACTACCTTATTTGCTTATCCTTGACAGATACGCGTATCTAGAATGTGCAGACTTCTTCAGTGTCTTGTACTAATACTCGTCTGAAGAAAAACATCGCATTTTACCGAATATATATAGATACATTTTCACATAAAAGATAGGTGAACTTAAATTTAATTTCCTGTAGGAGCAGGTACTCCGCTGCTTACTCGTTGATGTGTCCTAGGTAGTAACTTGAAAAGCCATGTGTGTGTCCATTTCCTTGATCCCTGTTGAGTAAAGTTGAATTCCGTTGTTTGTTGATCTCGAGGCTCTCGGCAACATCCAGTTTCCATGGTGTAGATACGGTTCGTAAAATCGTGATGTCCTCGGTCGATAGTTGGTGGGCCTCTGTGAAGATGTGTTCTGCAACCTTTGATTTGAGATCATATGTTAGGCGTTTTTCCTCTTGCTTTTTGGCCTTAACAACCTCCACTATATGTTCTTTAAATCTACTAAATCTACGTATACTTTGTTACAATGATTACAGCTTTTTTATATACACATGCTTTACCTAAAACATTAACTGGGTCTTTAGTGGATCCATGCAATGATTTTAACTGGTTATGTCTACTGGTGAAAACTAAATCTTATCCGAATTGGTTTAACGGTGGTCTTAGCCCACAAGTAATATCTTGATCAAATGGAACGGACACTTGTTTCAAGGGTTCAGGTGCTGCGGTGAGGGTTGTAAATAATCTCCTTTGTAGAATTCTCGCTTTTTTATCAATGATTGCCTGGATTGTGGCACATAACATATGTAGAACTGCATGCAAAATAACTTTCTAAAAGTTGACCCCTTTTTTGTGTTGCCTCAGTGGTATAACTGGTATAGTTGGGCATCGATCTGTCAAAACAAAATTATCGGGATATCGACACTGTGCGTTCATAAGAACCAATGTCGAAAACGTAAACAATGGCTTCTTTCGTATATTTCTTGTAGCTCAAAGTCATTCCATGTAAGCCATCAATTCCATCGGATAGGGGGACTCTCCCTCTACACAATTTACGTGTAGTTGACTCAAGTGGTGTTTCATTCTCGGGAAATTCGCAGAAAAAGTTTACGTGCATTAGCTCTTATGAAAGAAAAGCAGATATATGGTTGTATGCTCAGTAACCATTGACGTTGACGACGACCCTGCAACTCTTTACTCCTTGGTAAAATTCCATATGCATCTGAAAATATGTGCATGAAATCTAGCGGACATTGTCTTATCTCTTCACTCCACCATAGAACCAGCGAGCCACCATCTCTTCACACAAAGCTTGAGAGTATCCTATGCGTTTTTCATAGGCGTGAAAAGGTAAAGAAATGTCTACCAGGTTTCACGCACAGACTGACGATTGCGGATGGGATTTCACCATAAGAGTAAAGAGATATACACAGCAAAAAAATAATTTTGATTTCACGTCAAAGTGGATGCACTACAATCATGTCGAAAATATGGTGTAATATTACTTGCTAAAAAGGACAAAATTATCATTAATACAATGCATGAACTGACATTACGCTGCTTTTACTGCATTTGTTTATTTATGTGGTCATAAAAATTACATGAAATTTTCGACACGATTGTAGTGCATCCACTTTGATGTGATATCAAAATTATTTTTTTGCTGTGTAGAGTGAAGGCGAATTTAAAATTTCCAGGGTAATGCGCGATGTCAATCATACAAGGTCTGGCCCAACTGACTTATTGGTATTACAAAGTTGAAGGTGGTGTTCGTATTTCACCCAAGAGTTTATCTTTTTACACGAAACAGCGGTTGCCTGTGATGTCACGACTGCTGTTCGCAGTATGGAATGTTGTGCTGACGTAACGTCGTCATTCGCTTGCGCAGCAATGTTTACAACATTTCTGCTCCTAACACCAGCAAGCTGTCTGCTGTTACAGACCTTGTATGATTGACATCGGATATGCGGCCTTTCTTTTTTCGACCAGCTCTACAGGGGGCTTATCAAATGTTTTTTTTTTTAAACTAGCATTTTCAAGCCGGTCAGAAGCCAATCAAGAGCGTTATTAACCAGTAATATTGCATATGTGCAGATGCAATATTTCTTAGTCTCTTTGACCAGATTGAATTCCATTCGATTCATTGCGTAAATTGCGATAGTTGAATGTAATTGAAAGCAAACAATTCGAAGATTTTATGTTTGCGTTGAATTGGTGTAATTAAACATTTTATATGAATAATATTGTTCACTGTGCTATTAGTAAGTCAACTTATGAGTGTCATGAAATATTCTGTTGACATTAATAAACAGTTGAAATTTTTCTAAGAAATCTTGAAACATAGCTAGGGTATGTGTGCCAGTTTTAGGCCCTAGTGGTCGTCGAATTGACCATATCTTAAATTTCACATTTTAACATTCTTTCTAAATTTGTTTCGATACAAGGTAAGAACATGTGTTTTGGCAGAAATCTACGCAAATAAAGCCATTAAAATTTATTTCAAATATGGCCCTACCACCAAAAACTGGACCACTAGTGTCAATACTGGTACACTTATCCTATGTAAAATAGATTCAAACGATTACTTTCGTTTGTAAATAGTGCTTATTGTTGCTAGAAAATATATCCGTTTGCTTCCTTTGCCTTTTCGATCAATCTTTCCACGTTTTTAGTTCAAAAAAATTGGAGTAGATCTTTTGGTCAAAACATTTTCAATTGGCCGCAGCCTCGGCCGCAGTTGAGAAGCATATGGAAGATTGAATCCTTGGGTATTACAAGTAAGCACTCAATTTGATTTATCGTTCTGCTTGCGAAATTCTTGCGAATGGAACGATGGTCAGCTCAAAACACTGCAAAATTACCGCATAAACCGGGACACTTGTTGCAAAATGATGCTGCTTCTCTTTGGACTTCAAAATGTATGCAGTTAACTCCTAATTTGCGGAGTCGTATTTTTCCTCCTACGAATCCAAAATGAAATCAAAGGTTGATGCAATTGGCTCTAAAAATTTAAAAAAAGTTTAACGAAAAAAAATGGTTCATACATTTTTCTTCTAAGTATACAAAAAGATTTAAGATAAGAAGAAGTATGGAAGTAGAGTCTCCCCACTTTTTTGCCATAACTACAGAAAAACAATACGTATGGTTTACAATGACATTTCAGGATTAATCGTTGGGTGGCAGGTTATTGCATACAAAAAAAAAACGAAAAATTTATACTTTTTAGATTGCAAACGTTAATATATTTGTTTACTGTGTGACGCGAGGTGAGGAGCTAGCTATATAGTTATAAATAAAGGACGTAAATAGTTAAGGAAAAACCAAGACATAAGCACAAACGAAGTGACAGACGACTAACTGGCGAAGAAATCAATTAAAATAATGTGGTTCGCTGTAATAAAATTTTCATAGAAGCTTGTGCCATCAGCCACTAGATGGGCTAGTATTTTTGTTTTGATTTGAACATAGTTGATTTTGTGTGCAATACGATCTTTGACAGTGTGCAAAGAGTGTATCCTTTTGTCATTTTTTTATGCATTTCTGTTTAGAGTAGAGTGAAAGAGATAGAACCAAAACATTCTAGTACATTTAGTGTTGCCATGTGGTACAATCCATTAGTAGTGTTGCCATGTGGCACAATCCAGTAGTAGTGGTGTTGCCATGTGGTACACTGAAAAATTGCATTAGCAGGTGCGTCAC